AAATGTGCAAACTAGTTGTCCTATTTGTGTAGTTCTTTTAGCAGTAAGAGAACTTCTGTTAACTTCTTCATTAAGAGAAGCTCCACGAGCTCCATGAGAATAAAATGCATCATCATCCATTGCTCACATGTGTTGTTATAGGCTTGTTTTTAAATCCTCAGAGATCCAATCAAAGCTTAAAATATCTGTTTGTGTATACGGGCACTGGATTCCCATGCCTGCCTGCGACTTGAAACAGTGACCTTTTGCCTCCCAGTTCTCCTCTTAGCTCAGATACAGCATGTCTGATACTCAGATAAACCACTGAATACATTCTTCTTCCTCCAGACAGTTTAACCAAAGTCGAGAGATAACAACCGTCTCATTTCAGGAGCACAGTGTGTGTGTTGCAATTACACTGAGTTACATGAGTGACATAAACCATAATAATAAGACGGGAAGCCATTTGGCTGTAAACACGATGACTGGAGGAAGGTATATTTGGCACTAGACAGAAAGCGAGTCAACAAAAAGAAGGAAAACAAGCACTTTGATTGTGCTCTATCCTTGGACATGGCATTTCAGCCTGCTTTTAGAGCTTCCTATTCATAATCCCTAAACATAAAATGCCACAAGTTAAATGGAGGAAGTAAAACCCATACAGTACACAATATTTTGTTTTTTAAACATGGCAGCTCAAGGTAACAATTTATTTCTCAGTGTATGAGAGAGTTTATTGGCCTTAATTATAGAGTGGGGTAATCCAGCTGACTTGGCAAACCTTCAGCTATTAACAATATTCATATAGTGTAAATTAATTGGTGCAACAACCTCTAAGCACATGGCCTCAGTCTTTTCAATTAACAATATGGCACTTTAATCGATAGACCAATTCATTTTTGTTGAGTTGCATGCCATAGCAGCATGTACTACAATAAAACAGATTATATACACTGTTGCTACTGTGTAGCAGAACAGCATATATTCACCAACTATTTCATTAGGTACACCTTGCCAATACTGAGTTGGACCTGCTTTTGTCCCCAGAACTGTTTAATTCTTCATGGCATGGATTCCTCTAAGAGTTTGGTCCATATTGGCATGACAGCATCACACTTGCTGATCTGGTGACTGTGGATGCCATTTGAGTGCAAAGAACTCACTGTCAAGCTCAAGAAACCAGAGTGAAATGATCTGAGCTTTGTGACACGGTGTGTTATCCTGCTGGACACAGCCACAGAAGATGGCACACTGTGGTCATAAAGGGATGGTTGTGGTCAGCAACAATACTCAGGCTGTGGTGTTTAAAGCTGTTGAATTGTTGGTGTTGACTTCAGTTCTGCCTTTGATCCTGGATAAACTAGCACTGAAGCTCCTGGGACACCTGGAACTGTCCACGTCACTGCACTCTTATGACTGTCTAATGACAGGAAAGAATTTTTAAATATACTGATACTGAGGAGGCCAAATTATGTCAAAGAAAATATCTCTCAGTCCATTACACCATCATGTTTTCATGTTGTTTACACCAAATTCTGAGCCTGCCATCTAAATGCTGAAGCAGAAATCGAGACTCATCAGACCAAACAACGTTTTTACAATCTTGTCCAGTTTTGGTGAATTGTAGCATCAGTTTTCTGTTCTTAGCTGACAGGAGTGGCAGTGTGCACTTTTATTGCTGTTGAGATGCTCTCCTGCAAACCTTGATTGTAACAAGTGTTTATTTTAGTTACCGTTGCCCTCCTAACAGCTCAAAGCACCCTGGCCATTCTCCTCTGACCTCTGAAATCAATAGCACATTTACACCCAGAGAACTACTGTTCACTGGACTTTTTCTCTCTGTTTTGGACCATTCTGTGTAAATTCTTTAGGCGATTGTGTGGGGAAATCACAGTAGATCAGCAGTTGCTAAATACATGCAAGTTTACCTACTGAAGTGGCCAATGAGTGTTGTTTTTGTTGACTTTATAGTTTATTTATATTTTTAAATTTACACACCATTAGCATTGTTAGTAGTAAAAAGGTAAAAACCTCGAAACAATATCAGGCTGCTCAAAAAGAGAGCAACTACCTAAATCTGAGTTTAAATCAGGAAGCACAACAGCAGTGAAACGTGCAAAGGCCATGAAGTTTTACTGCAGATATACAGCCTTTAAATTATATTTTTTTAGCTGGGAGCTGCTGGGATTTTCCCACCCTGATTAAAACTTTGGAAACCAAACACAAGTCAAACAACACACAAGTTGAATTACAAAGAGTTTAATCCCAAAAATACTTTTTCCTTTTTTCCTGTTTTGGCTTGTAATACATAGTTTGGTCTTGCTGTATCGTGGCTGTAACGCTATAGTACTGTATCATTTACATTGTCTGAAGTAGTGGCTGTCATGCAATGTTGGACACAGCTCAACTTAGCAGAAAGATGCCACGTTCACATCAGAAATCCTGACTGTAAAAAAAAAGAAAGAAAGAAAGAAAGAAAGGTAACATTCATGTCTTCCCACTTGAGCTACAGGTATGACAACACAGTCACCTCTACAGTGTGACTAAGGTTCGACAGTTTGTTTACTTTGTAGACATCAAGCTGCAGCACAATAATGCTGCTTCATCTCTTCTTGTCTTTCATCGTGAATCTGGCATCAGAGAACAGTCTGTACAAGACATTCAACAGTCTTGTCATTTAAGACCAAATGCTAATGTCAGTGACTTTTTATGGGCTCCTCAGCAAGTTGGCTTTCAGGTATGTGAAACATTATGTTGATGTTAAGCTTTATGGTTATTTCTCACTCTGTAAAATATTTTATGAGCAGCTGAACAGGTTCCAGCCTGTTGGTTTGTTTCACTTCTTCACTGTGACAGGAAGACACTCGGCTTCTCGACTGTCCACCCATTGTCACCCCAGGGAATTTTGACAAAGCTGCTAGCATCACACAGGTTGTCCTCTGCAAAAGCCAACAGTGCTGTTCAACAGAGGTTTATCAAACTTTGTGGTTTTTTGGTTAGTTTGGCTTTTTATCATTTCCTGTTTTGTTTTTGTTTTTTTTATTTTACATGGCATTTGGTGACTAAAAATAATATTGATTTGGGATGAAATATCACATCTCAATTAGGACTGTTTGACTACGGGGGAAAACAATTCCAGATCAGCAGAGCTGAGTTACCTCAAAATGTCAAGTTATTTCCACAGTTTTGAGTTATTTAAGTTTTAGTTTTGAGTTATTATATTTGAGTTAAAATTTTGACTTTGTATGGCTGTTATTAGTATCGCTGTTATTTAAAACAACAACATTGGGACTTTTAAAACATTCTGCGCTTGAGGAACAAAAATTGTATTTGCTGTTTTTTCCAAACAGCTGACTAAAAATATCCATTCCTGTGATATCAATGCCAAATTGTGGCATCTCCAAAATACCAGCAGCTTTGACAAGATGTAGATTTTTGGCACCTTGGAGATGAAAACAGGTTCTGAACACGTGTCCTTTCACTGCCAGGAGGTTGAATCAGTCTGGGATGCACTCATAACACTTCTCAAGCACTCTGAGGGGCAGCTGGTTTGCTTTAGAGCAACTAAAGGAGCTAAAAATGACTCTATATGCTGATGACTATGTCATGTTTTGGTGTAAGATTTCTGATGGTAGTTTGATTAATTGGTTGTGTGATTTCCCTTCCATTCAGCATTATTAGCTATAAATAAATTTAAGTTTGAGAATTTAAGAGAGAATTTTGTGTGAAAAGTAAGAGTAGATGGATGCACAAATAATATAATCAGTGTTTGCTGTATTTATCAGCCAACACTAACAAGAGTTATATTAATCTGCAATGTCCAGTTTTTATTAGGTAAAATTAATCTTGAACTATAGCCAACATTACATGTAATGGCTTAAATGGACCCACAGTGTCCATGTGCAACTCTTGTACCATCAAGCCGTATTATTCTTGCGGCAATATTGCATTAAATACATAAAACAGTTGCATATATAGCTGAAAAAAGTTGAACTGTTAAAAATAGGGGGAAAAAACAGATGCAGCATTAGTAAAATTCTCCAAACAGATCAAATCAGCTTGTCACAGAGCAGAAGGCCTTCAATTTGACTTCCAGAGGAGGAATAATCAAAGGTGGTTCCACTGAGGAAGACACAGAAAATGAGCAAGATGAGGGATGAGGAAGAACTGATTTCATATAGCTCAAATTAGGGCTGCTCAATTAATCGAATCACGATCTGGGCTTTCAACGATCATTAAAAATGACTGAGCTGATTATTAGCCCCTCCCTCGTGCTTTACTCTCACGCTGCTCCGTGTGGCAAATCGAGCGCACCTCTCTGCATTTCGAACACGTGTCACAACAATTAAGAGCAGCGGTCCCCAACCTTTTTTGCGCCACGGACCAGTTTATGCCCGACAATATTTTCATGGACCAGCCTTTAAGGTGTCGTGGATAAATACAACAAAATAAAAACTAGTACCGGTACCGAAAAAAATGACATTTATTCAAAACGATAACAAAATAACGCTGAAAACCGATAAAAACCCTGAAAACTATACATTTCACACCTGAGCCTCAACTCTCGCGGCCCGGTACCAAACGACTCACGGACCGGTACCGGTCCGAGGCCCGGGGGTTGGGGACCGTTGATTAAGAGGACCCGAGGGAAGCTCGGAAAGCTAAGCAGAAGTTATTTGGAGAGGAGAGTGACTGCCGTTGGTTGAAAAGAGAGGTAAAAAAAAAAACTTCAGTGGTGTGGCAACATTACGTGGATCAATTAGACATAGTGTGTAAACTACAGTGTCGTAGCTGCACCACAGAGCAACAGAAAGTTCACTAAACATAGATGTTTACATTTTTCATTTATTTTTTATATTGCAAACATTTGCACTGTTATCAGTATTTGCACACTATTTTATATTATTTTTTGACAATTTTTAAAGTCATTATTCAATACATTGTTATTGTTAAATAAATATCGTCAAATAATCGAGATCTCAATTTCAGTGAAAATAATCGTGATTATCATTTTTGCCATAATTGAGCAGCCCTAGCTCAAATGCATTCTATATAACATAGTTTATTTAATTCTTTTACTCCTAAGCCAGTCATACCAGGTATATATATATCTCAGTTTGGCAGGGAAGGCTGTAAAAAACAACAACAACAAAAAACCCCACCAAAGCAGAGTTTCTGTGTCATCTCTTGGGAATCATCTTTGGTGTAACACCACCTCGCAGCTCTAAACACTGATCTGTGCATGAGTGCATCCCTAATCACATTTACAGCTGCCTTCTCACATCTGTGCACAGCACAGCAACAGGGAGCTCTGCCAGTGGATCAATACACTTTATAAAACATCTCCGCTACAATACACACATCCCCAATGAAACAGTCCTATTAATACTCCTCCATCAGGGAGAGTGCAGCGAGAGCCACAGTGTGCACAGACACAACTGCCTGTGAAGAACATTAAAACAGTCATCTACCAAGGTAAACAATCAATATTCTTCCCATGAATCTGACTTTAATATGACTTTTTTTTTTGAATTTATGCTATTCATGAATATACTATATAGATTTCATCTGCAAATACGCATTCCTACAGGAAAGTATGGATGCTAATGAGTTTATATGATATGCATTTTCAGCTCATTTTGCATCTCTATGAGTATATTTTCCTCCTATATGGAGACTTGCAGTATTTCTGTGGTGTTTTTTCTTCTTTCTTTTTTTGTTTAATCCATCCTGTTTCTATAGATGGGATACGTCATAGTTTATTAGCCATCATCCAGCCAAAGCCTGGCATCACTGCTTCTTTTTCTTCTGCTTCAGTGACTTCCTCCTCTTCACGATCATCTCGTACAGCTTGTCCATGCCCTCGTCCAGTCCCTCTCCGATGATGGCGCAGGCCGGCTGGACGTGGTACGGTGTTGAGGGGCTCAGCTCCGCCAGAGCGAGCTGCCTCTCGATCTCCCCGACGTCCAGAGCCCGGGGCAGGTCCTGCTTGTTGGCGATGACCAGCAGCGGGGTCCCCTGGTTCTCGGCGAACCGGGTGATCTTGTGCAGCTCGGTGCGAGCCTCCTCCAGCCTCTCGGTGTCCACAGAGTCTACCACGTACACGATGCCGTCCGTGCAGCGGCTGTAAGGCTTCCACAGGGGCCGCAGCTTCTCCTGGCCCCCGACGTCCCAAAAGTGACAGCTGATGCCCCTTGAGGCCCCCGCGCCGCCCAGCCGAATCCTCTCCGTGTTGAAGCCGATGGTGGGCACCGTGTTGACGAACTCGTTGAATTTGAGCCGGTAGAGGACGGTGGTTTTGCCCGCAGAGTCCAAGCCGAGCATGACTATGTGCAGGGACTGGAAGGCAGCCAGATTGGAGAAACTATTCCCCATGTCTGCAGGCTGGGGAGGAGAGACAGCGTGCACTCCCACAGCCCCACAGCAGCGAGCGAGATCACCGCAGGGGACGCTTAAAGGTCCCGGGAGTGATCCATCGTGGGTTATTAAAACGCGTAAAAATTAAAACGGCTTCTCCTCTCTCAGCAGAAGTTGGGGGCACAGCCCCTCGTTGCGCGGCGGCACTCCGGCAGCAAGAAACGCCGCAGCATCCCTGGACTCACTCCAACTGCATCTGCCCTCCACAAATTGTCAAATCACAGCACGTACAGCGGCTGCATGCACTCTCGCGCACCACACTCGTCTCCGCATCTGGCCGCTTGTCTCCGAGCAGCTGCCTTCATGTAGTGGCACACAACACAAGCACGAAGTGATGAAGCGTGACGCGTGGATCAGCCACTGAACGCTGCCATGGAGAGACGCGTCAAGTCAGACGGGAAAAACACAATAAAATCTGGCTTCCGGTTACGCGAAAGGGCTTTAAAAAATAAAAGCCTTTCAGATTCGTGAGAGCAAACCTGCCAGCGGGGTGGATAAAGGATCTTATTATGAAAGGTGTTCAGTCGCCTTTCCGCTGTGCAGGGAGGCGTCCTCAGCTGTGAGACTCTGACACCTGCTGGTAAAAATGAGCAACTACAAGCAGCTGTGACTTTATGAGTGCAGATATAAAGATACACTAATTGTAAGATAGTATATATAAATATAAATACATATCAAAAATGGTTTCCCCCAGCCTGCAGTCAGTAATTTAAGTGACTGCCTCTGGCACCATAAAACAAAAGAAAGAAGAAGGCAAATAAAGCCTGGGATTAGATGGAAAGGATGGACAGTGAGTCAATATCGACCAAATATTACCCAGCACAGCTTGAAGTCATGAAACATGGCCCTTAAATTTGGAAACATGTAGAATGAAGCACCAGCTGGCCCCAACAGACGGACTCACAGAGAAGCAGCTAAAAGTTATTCCAAGCAGTCAGTAATTAGTTTCAACCAAAAGCAACACTCACATGGAGCAGGATTCATCTTCACTGTGTTCAGGTGTTCAACTCATTTCTTTATATGTTTCTAGGAAAACGGAAAATAGGTGGAGCAACTTATTGAAAAATGTGCAAATATACATGGAAACACAGCATACTAGGCAATTCTAACATGTTTGAAAGTCAATATTTGGTATGATCACCTTTAGTCTCCTGCTAGATGTAGATGACCAACTTCTTTAGTACATTAGCAAGGAAAGCTGCGTCGATGATGGAGAGGTGATGTCAGTGCTAACCATCTAATAAAACAGTCACGCTGACTAGATGCCGGCTCAGCAGCAATTTCAGATTAGCATCTGTGACAATGACTGAATGTAATATGTTCAGCCAGCTGTTTTGCTTTTTTTTTTAAAAATCAAGAAGCAGGCCTGTTTTCTTTAAAAATTCAGAGATACGTGGTCCTCACAGGACAGCCACTACAAATGTAAGTAACGGAATATAGAGTACTTAAAACGAGATCCACCTTTAACTTATGCAGCAGTTACAGTAAAACATTTAAATAAATAAATAATTTAACAGTGATGATGAAGATTGTTCTGCAGAATTATTATTAAAATTTTCTTTTACTCTATGCACAAATTTTCCAATAAATAAATCCAAAGTTTCATTGATTAATTTTTGTTGAAATGCTGAGTGACATACAGATGTGTAGTGTTCAATATAGAGTTATAGTTATGGAAGGAAAAATTCACCAAAAATGTTCCAAAACAGTTTCCTCTCTCTTTTTGTTTATGTATATCAGCTGTTAACTAGATCATAAACTATGGTTTAATAAAAAAAAAAAACAACTAAAAGCAAAATTAATGTAATTTCATCATTTAGATGTAATTTTCTTTATACACGTTACTACGCAAAATAAAATCATCAATCATTGCAAAGAATATTGGGACGTTGATGAGGTTTTTTCTCAGATTTAAATATTGGAAATCCAAACGTGAACACTGCACTGCATGTTCTGGCGTCTTAAAAATATAGAGGTTGAAAACTGCCACAAATAATAATAATAATAATAAAAAACAAAGAATCAATGCTATTAAATGCATAAACTAAAAAAATAAATAAATAAATAAATGTAAACAAGAGTTATTCTATATGTCTCTGTTTTCTTTCTTTCTTTTATCTGCGTCTATATTGATTGTTTCATTTATTAATTCTGAGTGATTTATTTGTTCAGTTCCTTGTTTATTTAATTGTTTACATTTTTCAATTTTGGCAGCTTTGGTATTCCATAAGAAAATACAAGACGCACCTCATCAAACAACATAAACATGCCTTGTCAGATTGCTTAACACGATTCTGAAATTTTTGTGGTTTGCAGGTAAAATTATTTTTACATTGTTCATGTTGGAGGGAATGCAGACTCTGACTCAGATTCTGGTTTGGAGCAGGTCTGGGATCTGTAACAGAACTGACACCTGATTGGTTTACACTAATGATCTAACTCTATGCTGTCTTTAATTCATCTGTAAAACTAAATGAACATTAAAAGTCGTCTCAGGATAACAGAAAATAATAATGTGCCTTTTAAGCAACAATAATCCAGAATTAATGCTCCTTTAATATTCTCCTGTCTTCACTTCATATGGAGATCATTACATTTAGGCTTTTTTTATGCTATAGAATAAAACCCATTGTTCCCATAAACTTTGTTACATACATGTGTTGCTGGTGTTAAAAGTATAAGGCATGTGATCATTTAACATGTGTACCACTAGATGGCAGCAGAGTTTCTCATTGGAGTACCAGCAGTTTTCTGTAGTCAGAGGAAAAGTTTGCAAACACACACACACACACACACACAAAAATCAAACTGCTGTTCTTTTTCTTCACGACAGTCCAAATCTAAGCTGCTTTTTTTCAGGAAAAAGATGTAAACTTAGCAAAGTTAATTCACATAAAAAAATCGTATCCTCCATTCAAAGCTTCTAACAAACACTCGAACTGACATCGTGCTAGTGGCGCATCTTTTCAAAGCTCAAAAAGAGTCCCCAAACTTGTTGATCTTAATTTTGATAGTCTAAAGTTTTTACGTATCATGGTCAGTATTGTGACAGCCCAATATGTGATGGACTCAACTCGACTAAATAAGAAGCATTAACAGTCCATTATTACTTTAAGATGTAAAGGTTAATTTATTTGGGTAAATTAAAAGCTTCCTCGAGCGCAGCTGGAAAAGCCATCGAACGCTCTGATGAAAGTGGCTCCCTCAGAGGGCCGCCTCCGGAAAAGAGCATCAAGAACTGGAGTTCATCAGAGTTACCAGCTTCAGAAAATCACCATCATCAATCCCCGACTAACAGCATCTAAGATTAGAGTCCACATCGAAGCCCAGATAGCTCTCAAGATCCATCCATTGGTCCATGTGCCCATTTTCTGCTGCTGTTAGGAGGAGACGGTGTGAATCAGGCCTTCATGGTAGCCAACTGCGGCCAAGGAACAACTACGGAGGGAGTCCAAGAAGCACAAGGAGTGGCCGTCAGAACAGTACAAACATGGATTATGATGAGTCCAAACCTACATCCAGGATGAGGGAGGACTGCATCGAGATCTATCTATCTATCTATCTATCTATCTATCTATCTTATTATACGAGAGCACAGCATAGCACAGCATCCCTGCAGATATAAATGACTATACGTTTGCTTTGTCATGACTGACACTCATTCTTCAGTTTGACTGCAACAACAAGCGCTCACATTGCATCTTTACAGCACCTGTCGTACCTGCTGCTGATCGGATATGATCTGATAACAGCTCTCATTGTGAGTCTTCATTAAATTCCACCCCCCCGGGCACAAATAATTCATCTAATTAGCCAGAAGAAGTGAAAGCAAGTGTGTGTGTGCAGCAGCAGTGTTAGCAGAGGGGAAAGAAAGCCAGTCCCTAAACGACAACACAACCTGAGTCATCAAGACCCGACTAATTGTCCTCGCTGTCCTCCTCCTTTATTGATTTCCCTTTTATTACTGCATTCAAGATCAATAAAACGAATTATAAACAGGGTGTGGACACGCCCGCGTGCGCACACACACATGCACACAGCTTAACTTTATAAGACCACAACTCACTCTAATTGTGCTTCTCTCTCTCTTCCTCTCTCTAACTAGGCTGGATGTCTCTCGCCCACCGCCCACGCCGCCTTCTCATCCATAAAACAAAAGTCTCCCTCTCTGATTTACTTCTCATTTATTCCACCGTCTCCTCCATGTTTCACAGGTAACAGATGACGAGCTGCAGACAGATGCTGAGAGAGCCTCAAACAAGCTGTTTAACTATCAACTGCCAACTTTCAGAAGAAAAAGAGAAAAAACACATCTATAACTCAGATGATGTAAAATTAATTAGATACATAGGCTGAAGTGATCTACATCTCAGAGGATTTTGAGTCCTTGCAAAAAAGATTTCCTTAAAAAAGTACCACCAAATTAAAGTACTACCAAGGTAAAATATGTAAACATGATAAAACTAGGATGCATTGTGGGCACATCAAACCTGATCTCTTTAGGCTGCACTGGGAGGCTTTTAGGTTACCCATGACCCAGCAGTGTGAACGTGGCCCTGACCACACTGTAGGACTGCCAACTCAAATGATGTAAACCACTTACACTATACTGCCCAAAGTATTCAGTCACACACCTGAAGGATTGAATTCAGGTGTTGCAATCACTTCCATGGCCACAGGTGTATGAAATGAAGCACTTAAGGCATGCAGATCGCTTCTAGGAACATATGTGAAAGAATGGGTTACTTGAGTTCATCGAGGTTAGCGGGCATTCATTTATTCACAGCTCTCTTAAGGTCCTACCACAGCAATAGTCAGGTTCAGGTCTGGACTTTGACTGGGTCATTGTTCTGTTTCATGACCAGGCCAAGCTTTACAAGTCAGACAGATGTCCTCACATTTGACTCTAGAATACTTTGGTATACAGAGGAGTTCATGGTTGACTCAGTGACCTCAAGGTGCCCAAATCATGAGCTCTCCACCACTGTGCTGACAGCTGGTACGAGGTGTTTGTGCTGATATGTTGAGTTTGGTTTTCCATGATGACCAAACATCTCCACTTTGGTCTCGTCTGTCCAAAGGACATCATTCCTGATGTCTTGTGTTTTGTTCAGATGCAGCATTACAAACCGAGCTGCCGTGTTCTTTTTAAATAGAAGCGGCTTTCTCCTGCCACCCTTTCAAACAAGCCAAACTTGTTCAGTCCACATTTAATTGTGATGTCATGAACTTTAACATGTAACATGCTAACTCAGGCCTGTAGAGTCTGCAGTTTTTCTGAGGGTGAGTTTTCTGTGATGTCCACTCCGGGGAAGATTGTGATATTGTGTTAACAGACACCTAAATGCTCCAGAGCAGCACACTGCCAAAACGTTTGCT